TTAGATAAGGAGGAAGTGTCCCTCCAGGGAGAGAGAGAGAGAGAGAACGCATTCCATTCCAACAATCTATCTCTGGGATTTCCACGTGTAGGTGGAATGCAGGGAATTCTCAGTTTGGTTTGGAGACTCTTATCCACAGTGATGGGTTTCCATAAGTGTCAGACACCCGGGCTTATCAAAAAAAATTTACGCAGATGATACTAGATATGAGACAATGACGGGAGAGGCAAGTTGTTTTTTGGAGCAGAGAAGATTGCTGGGGAATGTATAATAAGTGTCATTTATGACAAGCTAAAAATGGGAAAAAATATTGCTTTCAGTTGGGGGAAATGCGTAACAAGGAGACTCTCACTCTCAGGATTGTTAACAAAAGAAGAAGGGGAGAGATGGGAAGGAATTTCTTCACTCAGAGCATTCCTAAGGAGTTGAATTCATTATCTCATTAAACTGCTATTGAGGCTGGAGAACTAAAATTGTGCAAAAGGCAACTGGGTTAAGTACTTGAGGAGAGATATAGAGAAAGTGCTGGAAAATCAGATTATGATAATCCTTGCTTTTGATATAGCGCCTTATCACGTCGTTGAGATGTGTCAAAGAGCTTCATAGTCCTGGATGAGAGCTAATTTTCTTCAGTTGAACGCCAATAAGAACGAAGCTCTCCTGATTGGCTCCCGTCAGTGCCTCCACACCTCAAGTGCTGCCAGCATCACCATGCCTTAGCATCTGGTTTGACCCCCAACTATCCTTTCTACCCTATATCTGTGCTATGACCCGCTCTGCCTTCCCCCACCTCTGCAACATCGCCCGGCTCCGCCACTGTCTCACACCGCAGGTCCCCGAGACCCTCATACGCGCTTTCATTACATCGAGGCTCGACTATGCAAACTCCCTGCTTGTTGGCCTCCCCAACTCCTCCCTCCACAGGCTGTAGATCATCCAGAACTCTGCAGCCCGTGTCCTCTCCCCCACCAGGCTCCATGACCCTATCACCCCCATCCACGCCCGACTCCACTGGCTTCCCATCAAACAGAGGATACAGTTCAAGATTCTGGTCCTCACCTTCTAAGCCCTCCATGGTCTTGCTCCCCCGACCTCTGCCACCTCCTAACCCTCTACCATCCTATCCGCTCCCTCCGCTCAGCGGGCTCCGGCCTGCTTCACGTCCCCTGCCTCGCTCGCCCCTCGCCTTCTGCCACTCTGCCCCCACCCTCTGGAACTCCATCCCGCAGTCCCTCCACCTCGCCACCTTCCTCGCCCCCTCCCTCACCACCTTCAAGACCCTTCTCAAGACCCTCCTCTTCGACCGTGCTTTCAATCTCCCTGCTTCCCCCCCCACCTGCCCTCCACGATCCCTACCTCCAGCTCGCGTCTGAAACTCTGACTGTCCAGCGCCTTGGGACATCCGCCCGACATGAAAGGCGCTTTACAAATGTCTTTTTATTGTAGAATATACAGTAGAGTGAATTGACTGTAAGTTCTGTGGCGAAACACAGCAGCCAATTGCGCACAGCAGTGACCGACAAGCAGTCATGGATTAAGTGACCAAATTGTTATTATTATTTGATTATAATAGAGGCATCTGTGATACAGAAAGCAGTAGGCTGAATGGCCTCTTTTGTGCTCAAAAATGTCTATCTTTGCTTCTCTTCACTGGTCCAACAGAAAACTAAAAACATAAAATTTATAATCTTGTGTTTAAAAGGAAAAATAATAAGACTAACAATTAACAGCTAGAATAAATTATAAACTGCCCATGGAAAGGAATAAAAAAACAACGTAAGTGTTGTTCATATGAAATATTTCTATTCACAGGGATTCTCTGAAAAGCTCCCTCTCTAGTCATAATTTCAACTGTGAAATAAATAACCCAGTGAGTCACCCTGTTTTCAGACAGACCATTCACTCTCCCTCTGCCAAGTTATTACTAGGTTTTCCCAAACTCAGCAGAATTGAGGGTGCACAATCCTCGACCAGAACATTCAGAAGTGTCCAAATCTATCTGCTTCTCTACTTCAAGCCAGAACTGAAGAATTCAAACTACCCAAGGCACATTACATAACCATGTATGCTATGGAGTTATTTAATAATAATAATAATCCTTGCATTTGATACAGCGCCTTATCATTCAACAACAATATCATCATTGAGACATCTCAAAGTGCTTCACAGAATACACTGTAAAGTGTTTTGTAAAGTGTTCAAGTGCTCTGAGAAGCCGTCCGGCTTGGAGGGCGCTATATAAATCCAAGTTGTTGTTGTTGTAAAGTGAATTGACTGTATATTTTGTGGGTGAAACACGACAGCCAATTGCGCACAGCAGCGTCCCACAAACAGTCGTGGATTGCGTGACCAAATTATTATTATTATTTATTTATTTTGAAGTTATTATTACCCCCAGAAAAGCCATCCACTAATCGACTAACAACCGGGTTCTACTTATTGCTGGGGAAACAGAGGCGTGTGGAGTAAAAAAACTGACCTAAGATTTCACCCTGCTCGGGAAGCGAACCCAGGCTTTAACTAATACACTACAGGACTGCTAAATTTTCTCCCATTGGTGCAACCTTCATGATAAATTCGCCAGTTAGGTCACCTCCTTAAAAATTAAAATATTTACAGGACTCATAAGCAATAAAGTTTCTATACTGTAAAGTGGTGACTGTTGTGTTTTTCTTTTCTGGACAAATGTAGCAGCCAATATGCGTACAGTGAAAATTGTACTGAGCAAACCACAAACCATCAGAGCTAGAACCACAGCAATTAAAGGCTAGACGGCCTCCATTCATACTACTGAACTAACTTTGCACAATAATTTCTTCCCCCTCAACCCCTGGCCTCTTAAAAACTACCTCCACATTATTCTTCAGGACACGTACACAAACTGGTTTATTCTGTCTGCCTCTTAGTCATCTCCTAAGGAAGGTTTCACCATCTGAGTAAGACGATTGCAATGAATAGACATCTGACATAAGGCGTACATTATATTAGAACAATCTGCACATTCTGGCACAGGAACATACAGAGAATATTTCAGCACTGAAGGAGGCCAATTCCCATTATAAAACCAAAATTCTTGAGGGAACAGCGGTAAAGAGTTGTATATATTAGGGCTTTGGCCTTCAGCCTGTTAAATGCTATCTGAATACACAGTAGAATCAATACACTACAGGCTAAGGGTCAAAGAATCTCTCTTCTCTAAGCGTAATAGTGGTGGCAGCTATTTTAATATAGCTCAATGGAGTAGGTTCGACTGTATTGCCTATGTCTATCACACATATCCTATTATCTTTGCTACCACCTCGAGATGAAGATCTAAGAGTCACCAAGCGAATATTGTTAGGTTACACAACTCACCAAAAATGTAAGATTTTCACAATTTCTTGTTTAAATTGGCAATTTCCTGTGTAAATTGCTCGTCCCCATTCTCCCACCTCCCATCTGTAGACACTCAGAGCACAACTGCCCAGTTCCCCCAGCCAAGTCAACATGCAATCCATCTAAAGTCAGCTGTCATAGTTAAGAATGACTGATGCAAGGAAATCTCACCAGTGCAGTGGCATCACAGCACAGAGGGCAGCCATTCCGCCCATTCGATCCAGGGACTACAACATTCCTATTGTTTTTTCATAAATCCTGTAAGTTTTGTGCAGTCCTGCAGCATAATAGTTAGAGTACTCGCCTCTCAAGCAGACCCAGGTTTGATTCCCGGACCTGGGGCGAAACCTTAGGCAAGTTTGCTTACTCCACACGCCTCTGTTTACCTCGGTGTAAGTAGGAACACGGTTATTAGTCAATAACAACAATTTGGTCACTCAATCCATGACTGTTTGTGGGGCACTGCTGTGCACAACTAGCTGTCATGTTTCACCCACAAAATTCACTTTACAGTATATCCTGTGAAGCGCTTTGAGATGTCTTGAAGATGATAAGGTGCTATATCAATTGCCAGGTCTATTATTATTATTATTATTTTGTGGGCGAAACGTTACATGCACTTGCGTGCGGAAGTGTCTATATCAAATGCAAGGATTACATTATTATAATAACATATTTTAAGATATTTTACGCAAAAGATGTCATGGGTTACTTAAGAAATAATGGGGTGAAGAGGTATTGTGTAAACCACAGCTTGTGCACACAATGATAAATGAAAGATGCGAGCAACGCAAACACGACTGAGTGCCTTGACAAGCAGTATGTTTAATGCATGCTCTGAGCAGTAAGCAGAGCTAAATCCCAGGTAGATTAGATTTCATTAAACATTTGAAACAAAAGACAATCTTGAGCGTACATTACATGGAAATCAATTAGCCCACTGAGCACCAGCCACCAAACACATGGCAATCCCAAACATAAGCTGCACAATCCCTTTCCACACTGTTCCATCCCTCATTTGTTTCACTGGATCCATAAACAACAACAACAACTTGGATTTATAAAGCGCCCTCCACGCCAGACGGCGTCTCAGAGCGCTTGAAGGTGAGCTGTCTTCTGTGGGGCTGCCACACTTTGTTTTTAATCCCTGCATTTCATATAGTGCCTTAATTTATTTACGTATTTGTTTGTTTGAAGGGATTATTAAGCCCAGAAAAGTGATCCACTAACCGGGTTACTACATACTGTTAGGTAACAGAAGTGTGTGGAGTAAGGAAACCTGCCTGAGCTTTTGCCCTGTCCGGAAATCAAACCTTAAAAGACTCACATATAATTTTTGGAAAAAAACATAAGGTTTGGGCGAAGGACTTTTGGCCCATTTGATCTCATCCTTGCAGAATATATACACTCCCACAGCAGCGGTTCAGTAAATAATCCGCGGCGCCCACCTGTCCCTCGTACCAGTCCCCGCAGTACCTCCCTGGCAAGATCTCCCATCTCTATCCAGGCAACACCATCCAAGTTTGCACTTCCAAACAGATTCCAATGAAAATATTTCTGAAGACTTCTTTCACCATTAACTGAACCTTTCCCAGTCACACTACTCCCCAAAGATCAATTCCCACCTTTATCCTGGAAAGAAAGCCGTTCCTTCTCCAATGCTTCCAGTCCTCGGCTCAGTGCTCGCTTCTGTCTCTGCAGTTCATTCTGAAGGACCAAGATCTTCAATTGCAAACGCTCCCGCTCCTTTTTCTATCAGGGAAACAATAATAATAATCATTGCAGTTGATACAGCACCTTATCACATCTTCAAGATGTCTCAAAGCGCTTCACAGAATATACTGTAAAGTGAATTGACTATATTTTTGACAACAAGTAGCCAATTGCTAACAAGCAGCGTCACACAAACAGTCATGGACTGAGTGACCAAATTTTTCAAAGAAAATTATTTATTTAAAGGGATTATTACCCCCAGAAAAGCGATACGCCAATCGACTAACAACCGGGCTCCTATTCACTGCTGGTAAACAGAGATGCATTGGAGTAAGGAAACTTGCCTAAAGTTTCGCCCTGTCCAGGAATCGAACCTCTCGCTTGCAAGGCGAGCGCTCTAACCACTGAGCGCTACAGGACGCCACAATGAAGTAGTTTTGATAGGAATTTAGGAACAGAAGACAGGTAATGGCAATGTAATATAACATCATTCCCCCAATCCCAACTCCACACTATTTCCCCATATTGAATGAAGAACAGCACATTACAACAAAAAACATGGAGTTTCACACAAAGCATTAAGGAGTAACAGGCTTAAACACAAATGTTTAACACCTTTCTTTCAGGAACCAAATAAATAATGGTCTAATTTGCAGCGTTTCAAAACAGGAAACCTGAACAAGGAAGCGGGAATTCAAACTTGACTCCTGAAGTAGATAGCGTCAGAATTGAGTGACAGTTGATTAGTTGATCAGTGGAAATGTTGTTTATAGTAAGGAGACCCCAATCACAGGAATCGTATTCCTTATTAAGGAATCCCATTAAGTAATATTAAATGTTGAATCCCACCTGGGAATAAGATACTTCCATGCATTTAATTTAATGCTCCCCCTTCTATTTCCCAACAGATATAGAGACTAGAGAGGCATAGGCACAATGGGCCGAATGGTCTCCTTCAGTCCTATAAGATTCTAGGATTGTATTTCCTAACAGAATTGCACACAATATGGAGAGACAGATTCAGTGCCTCCTTGAACCCGCACAATGTTCGATGGGGACAAGGTATGGTGTACCTCAGAGTAAGAAAAAGCTTCAATTAAAGGGTGACCACAAGTGCTGAGGAATGAGACCTTTCCCCCTGATTTTAAGGTGGTTTATTCTCGCAGTGGGTTCTCAGTGTGTGAACAGCGCTGTCCATCACTGCTCACGGTTGAGACGCTGCTGAACAAGCCACAGATGGTGCTTTTACTGATCTCTGGAGCCGACAGCACGCTCCTGTTTTCACAGATGTCTGCATTTAAAAAAAAGTATCAAATCAGCAAATGGTCATGGAGAAGGAATGACTGACGGCAAATTGCTGTGGTTCTGAAACTCCTGCAGCTGTAACCTAGGCTGGAAAGGACAGCAAAGATTTATGCATGTGGACAAGATGAATGGCCTTAATGTAATCAACTCTATGACATTATAAGGCCACAGTCTAAGCTGCAGATCTGAGAGAACTTATGCTGTAGATTCCTGCTCCTCGGCCTGAGCTGGTAACACTGCACTGCTCTACACCACGTGAGGCTGAACATTTCTGGGAAAAGTCAGTGGTTTAAGAATACTTCCAAATTTGACTGAAAATTCCAACAACGGAGCGACATTTTTCAAAACTAACATAAAGTACCTCTGGTTATTCTGAGAGGAGATAGAGATAGCAAATAGCAGGGCAATGAACAACAACTTGCATTTACACAGGTCCTTCACGCTGGGCAACGTATCGAAGCGCTTAACACTGGCAGAGCCTGACACCAAGGCGCGGGGAGGGGGGAGTTGACCGTAGGTATGGTCGAAATGGAAAGTCTTCAGTCATGATCTAAAAGAAGGTATGGAGGGGACAAGTTGGAGAGACTGGGGGAGAGAATTCCATAGTTTCAGAGTGAAGCCGCCAATGGTGGAACGGTGGGGACGAGGGAGAAGCATTAGAACATGAGAAATGCGAGACAAAAAACAAGGTCCATCTAATTCACCTTCCACCTTCACATGCACATATGTCCCGAACTCCCTATGCCCTATATCCCATAATGTTATTTCCTGAAAGAAAACTATCTAATCAGTGTTTGAAGGAATCAACATTTCCTGCTTCACCTTCACTCACTAGGGAGTCTGTTCCACATTCGTCACTGAAATAGTGTTTGCATAGATTCATTCTGAATTTACCCGCCTACAATCACAGCCCATGTCCTCTGGTTTTACTGTTGTGGACTGTCATGATCTACATTTTCTAGCACCTTTAGAATCTTGTAATGGGGGATAAGGACATGGCAGAGTGAAGTTGTAATGGGGGAGAAGAACATGGCAGAGTCCCTAAATGGGTACTTTGCATCTGTGTTCACCCTAGAAGACACAACAAGTCTGCCAACAATAGGGATGCACCAAAGGGATAAGGACAGGGAGCAACTTAGGGAAATTTTCATTAGTAGAGAAATAGTGCTGGGAAACTGTTAGCACTAAAAAGTGACAAATCCCCTGGTCCGGATAAGGTTTTAAAAGAGGAGCTTATGAGATAGTGGAGGCCTTGTGTCTGATCTTCCAAAATTCCTTGGATTCTGAAACAGTCCACATGGATTGGAAGATCGCAAATGTCACACCACTATTTAAAAAAGGTGGAAAGGAAAAGATGGGGAACTGTAGGCAGTTCGTCTCACATCAGTGATAGGAAAAAATTTAGAATCATTGATTAAGGATGTGGTAGTACAGTATTTAGGGCACAATATAATTAGGCCGAGTCAACATGGTTTTACAAAAGGGAAGTCATATTTGACAAACCTCATAGAATTTTTTGAGGATATTTCGAGTAAACTAGATAAGGATGAATCAGTGGATGTGGTCTATTTGAACTTACAGAAGGCATTTGATAAGGTACCGCATAAAAGGTTAGTCCAAAAGATAAGGGCCCACAGAATTGAGGGGAGCATATTAACGTGGATTGGGGAATGGTTAACGGGTAGGAAACAAAGAGTAGGGATAAACGGGTCCTTTTCAGATTGGCGGGATGTGACTAGTGGAGTGCCACAAGGATCAGTCCTTAGGCCTCAGCTATTTACCATCTACATCAATCATCTTGATGAGGACATCGAAGTTAATATATCTAAATTCACGGATGACACAAAACTAGGAGGAAGTGTCAACACAGAGGAGGACAATAAAAAAATGCATCGAGGCATAGATAGGTTAGGTGATTGGGCAGGTGAGTGGGACATGAAGTATAATGTAGGGAAGTGCAAAGTCATCCACCTCGGGAGCAAAAACAGTAGAGCGAGTTATTTTTTAGAAGGGGAGAGATTGGAATGTGTTAGTGTCCAGAGGGACTTGGGTGTCACAGAAAGTTAGTCTGCAGGTGCAGCAGCAATTAGGAAGGCAAACGGTATGTTAGAGTTCATTATGAAAGGATTAGAGTATAAGAGTAGGGAAGTCTTGCTGCAACTGTATAGGGCCCTGATGAGACCACACCTGGAATACTGTGTCCAGTTTTGGTCTCCTTATGTAAGGAAGGATGTACTTGCCTTGGAAGGGGTGCAGCGTAGATTTACTGGGATAGTACCAGGGATGAAGGGGATGAGTTACGAGGATAGGCTGACCAATTTGGGCCTATATTCTCTGGAATATAGAAGAATTAGAGGGGATCTTATAGAAACCTATAAGATCATCAAAGGGCAATGATAGAGTAGATAGTGGGAGATTGTTTCCCCGGTTGGAGAAACTAAAACCAGGGGTCACAACCTTAAAATCAGAGGCAGCCCTTTTGCACTGAGTTGAGGAAGAACTTCTTCACTCAAAGGGCAGTGAATGTATGGAACTCACTACCCCAAAGGGCTGTTGACGCTCAGTCCTTGAACATATTCAAGACTGAGATAGATAGATTTCTTATTGCAAAAGGGATTAAGGGATATGGGGGTAAGGCAGGGGTGGGGGGAGATATGGGGATAAGGCAGGGGGTGGGTGGGGGGGGATATGGGGATAAGGCAAGGTCAGGTTATTAGCTGGAGTTAGATTAGAAGGTCAGCCATGATTGAATGGCGGGGCAGGCTCGAAGGGCCGAATGGACTACTCCTGCTCCTACATGTTATGTTATGCTATGCTAATCTTAAAGACAGTAAAAACAACAAATTTATTTGAATAGCATCTTTAACTTCAGGAGAACGTCCCAAGACCCAAGCAGAAGACCATAGCCAAGCGGCGACAGCAGGTAGTGGAGGGGGAGAAAGCAGGTCAGAAAGGTAGGGAGGTGCCAGGGCATAAAGGGATTTTACGTAGAAAGGCACATTACGCATTAGTATTGAGGATAACCATTCTTTTGTCAGCTGGGTGCCTGACACATGCGGAAACCCATCTATATGCTTAAGAGTATCCAAAGCAGACAGAGTTCCACATATGTCTGCCACCTAAACATGGAAAACCAATAAATGATGTAAAGCAGCATCCTTATTCCAGCTTTTATTGGACTGATTGAAGTGTCACCTTTTAAAAGTTTGCAACAACTTCAAAGAGTCATAATATTCAGCAAAATCCTTTTTGGGAGCTTTGGGTGTTCATTGTTCCATGGTAAAGGCAATTTAACACACAACAAAAAATTACATTTATATAGCACCTTTCACATCGGAGCCTGTCTCAAGCGTTGTAGCAATACTGGCTTGGTACCTGAGGTGGGATTGGGAAACCAGGGGGACAATGATGACTGAGAGTGTGGGTTAAGAGGGGGTGGATCAAGGTCTTCAGACAAACCTAGTACAAGGTGAGGGAGAGAAAAGCTAGAGCGTCCGTCAAGCAGAGAGCTGGCGTTGTCTAACTTGAACGTGATCAATAATAATCTTAGCAATTGATAAAACGCCTTATCAGACGTTTCAAAGTGCTTCACAGAATATATTGTAAATTTGATTGACTGTATTTTGTGGGAAAAACATGGCAACCAATTGCACACGGCAGTGTCCCACAAACAGTGGATTGAGTGACCAAATTATTATTTTTATTTTTTCGACTTAGGACTTATTACCCCCGGAAAAGCCAATCGACTAACAACCGGGTTCCACTTACCGCTAGGTAAACAACCACAACAACTTGCATTTATATAGCACCCTTGACGACCTGTCTGCTCCCTCCACTCAGCAGGATCCAGACTGCTTTATGTCCCTCGTCCAGCCCGTTCCACCATTGGCAGTTGGGCCTTCAGCCATTCTGCTTCCACTCTATGGAACTCCATCCCACATTCCCTTCGCCTTGCTCCCTCCCTTGCCTCCTTCAAGGCATGTCTCAAAACCCTCCTCTCCGACCAAGCCTTTGACCATAAGTTTACTGCTCGCTCACTGAAGTCCTGTTTACGCAGATGTGTTCTGAATTTGCCCCCTTCATCGTAGGCTGTATCCTCTGGTCCTACTGTTCAGTCCAAGATAAAACAGCTCATTTCAGTGAACAAGAATTAAATGTATGAAACAGGCTCCCTCAGGAGACGGTGAAAGCAGAACATATTGATTCCTTCAAAAGCAAATGTGATAGATTTCTTGTAGGAAATAATTTCTGGGGACACAGTGTATAGTTTTGGACATATGTCATGGGACTGCCAGGATGGTGGAAAGTGAACCGGAGGAATCTTGGTCCAACAATTCTTATGATCTTAAGCACAAACCTGCTGGAGGTCATCCTTTGGTTTAAACGTGGGACAAACCAGCCAGTAGGCAGGGATCAATGTCTGAGCCTAGTTAAAAAAAAAAGCTATTACACCCAGTTTCATCCACAAAATACAGTCAATTCACTTTACAGTATATTCTGTAAAGCGCTTTGAGACATCTAAAAGACGTAATAAGGCGCTGTATCAAATGCAAAGATTATTATTATTATAATAGCACGGGTTTGAATTTTATGACTCCAACCACCACATATTACAGGGCTCCACTTTATTTTGATATTTTACTCATATATTAAAAATAAACTTACCAACTTTGTAGTTGAAGCAGTTAGTCTTAACTTCTCCTCGATTTCCTTGCCTACTTTCTGAACAGTTACCTGAGTCTGTTTTATTGCACGTTGAGCAGTATGAAGTCTGTAAAATATGAGAAAACACATCAGAAAGGTAACAGACAGCTTCTCCTTTGGCATCTACTACTAATAATACTTGCATTTGATACAGCGCCTTATCACGTCATCGAGACAGAATATACTGTAAAGTGAATTGACTGCATTTTGTGTGCGAAATGTGGTAGCCAATTGCGCACAGCAGCGTCACACAAATAGTCGTGGATTGAGTGACCATATTTTTAAAAATGTTTTAAGGGATTATTACCCCTGTAAAAGCTACAACATGAGCAACCAGCAGTTAAACTCCAGTGTAAATAATAGGGCAGTCAGTCCCCTAACCCTGATCCTAACCCTAACCCTGTGTGATAGCAAAAGGGAAGGAGTCCTGTAGCTCAGTGGTTAGAGCACTCGCTTTGCAAGTGAGAGACCTGGGTTTGATTCCCGGCAGAGGGTGAAATCTTGGGCAAGTTTCCTTACTCCACACAGAGCGTAATAATAATCTCTCAAGAATAAAAACAATAATAAATTGGTCACCTCAATCCACGGCTGTTTGTGGGACGCTGCTGTGCGCAATTGGCTGCCGCGTTTCACCCACAAATATACAGTCAATTCACTTTACAGTGTATCCTGTGAAGCGCTTTGAGACGTGATAAGGCGCTATATCAAATGCCAGGATTATTATTATTATTATTATTATTATTCACTGAGGCAGATTAAAGTCTAGTGAACTTGGGGCAATAGTGAACTTGGGGCATATTATTCATGACATCCCTCCTCCTGGCCAATACTACATGTGTTTGAGTTGGGTTGGGAGTTGAGTTGGGAGGTAAGCAGGTTGTCCTTGAGGCTGGGTCCACAGTGCCATACAGTGCCATGCTTGAGATCAGAATTTCGGGGGGGTGGGGGGGTGTGCAGGGCATTCAGGCAGTCCTCAGAAGCTATCCAACCAAACAGAACTAGCAAAACAAACTTGCCTACAGGCACAACAAAGGTATAACAAAAAACTGCTGGAAATCCGAAGTCAATAAGTCAGCAACCGAAAAAGAAAGCAGCTAGCCTTTTCAAGACACAAATAAATTACTATTATATAGCACCTTCACATCAGGAGGACATCCCAAAGCGCTGGGCTTTCGAGGGTTTGCATCCGAGCTTGGGGTTGGATTGGACAGGAGCGGTGGGTGTGGGAGGAAGACTGAAGGCGCATTCAAAACAGAAGGTCTTCAGACAGACCTTGGAAGGGTCGAGGCGAAGGCAATCTGGGCTGGATTCAAATAGTGGAGGCACATAGGGAAAGCCCGACCATAGTGGGACACAGGGCAGAAACGTGAAGCGTGGCCACTGCTTGCAAAGTGGGGTGGGGGGGGGGGGGTGCAGATGGGTTGGTCGGATTTAAGAAGGTCACAGAAATAGCATGGGCCACAACCATAGAGGGGGGATTTAAAAGCGAGGTCAAGGATCTTGAACTCAACCCTCTAGGTGATGGGGAGCCAGTGGAGTCGGCGAGGGTGGGGTGATGGGAGCGGAGCCCAATGCAGGAGAGGTCATGAGCTGCCGAGATCTCGATGGTCTGCAACATATGGAAGGAAGAGTTGACGTCTGCTGAGCAGAGAGTTGGTGGAGTCCATCATGGACGTGATGAAAGCAAGCTGTAGAAGCCTTGTGTAAATATGTAAGCCCCGAGTAGCATAAACAAGCCCTAGAGCACTTGGTCACTCAATCCTCAACAGTTTGTGGGAAACTTTGTATTTGTAGAATAAAAAAAATTTGTATCAAATGCAAGGATTATCTTAATTATTATTAGAAACTACTGTGCGCAATTGGCTGCCACATTTCAACCACAAAATAGTCAGTTCACTTCACTGTATATTCTGTGAAGCGCTTTGAGACACCTCGATGAAGTGATAATGCGCTGAATCACGTGTAGTCCTGTAGCTCAGTGGTTAGAGCACTCGCTTTGCAACCGAGACACCTGGGTTCGATTCCGGGCAGGGCGAAACCTTGGGCAAGTTTCCTTACTCCACACGTTCCTTACTCCACACAGAGCCTAATAATAATCCCTCCAAAAGAAAACAATAATAAATTGGTCATTTTCAATCCACGGCTGTTTGCGGGACACTGCCGTGCACAATTGGCTGCCGCATTTTGCCCACAAATGAAATATACAGTCAATTCACTTTACAGTCTATGCCGTGAAGCGCTTTGAGACGTCGAGCAGACGTGAAAAATGCTATATCAAATGCAAAGATTATTATAATTAGAAGCCCTATAACAATTGGCAAGAATGTGTCCTGCTCCCAGTTCAAGCCCTTGCAGTTATATAGCTCCCTTCCTGCAGGGAAGCGCTTCGGAGTTTATAATAATAATGCTTGCATTTGATATAACACCGAATCACATCTTTGACTGTCTCAGAGCATTTTACAGACTATACTGTAAAGTGGATTGACGGTATAGTTTGTGGGCGAAACATCTACTTATCTTATCTACTTAAAGATCCATGTATTTGTATTCCTAGGTCTCTGCTTTTCTAGTTATGCAACTATCTTTGGGTCACACAGACCAAAGACAATATTAGATTTCCTTAAGGCAGCATTCAACCACCAACTCTCTCGTCTCTTTCTCTCCCTCTTTAGTCAGTCCACAGCTGAACTCCTTCAAAATAAACTTATTACCCAGTTACTTTGAGCAAAAGAAACTTTTAGCGAGCTAGTTTTAACACTGATAACTCAATTACTTAACATTGATGCTGCACCCAGAGTCTATCCTGCAGGAAGAGCTTTATGGAGTAGAAACTTGTAGTATAGTGGTTAGAGCACTCGCCTCACAAGTGAGAGCACCCGGGTTCAATTCCTGGGAAGGGCAAAATCCCTACGAGGCAGTAAGTAGGAACCCAGTCGTTCGTCGCTTTCCAGCTATAATAATCCCTCCAAAAAAAATTATAATTTGATCAATCAATCCACGACCATTTGTGGGACACTGATGCGTGCATTTGGCTGTCGCGTTCCTCCTACAAAATATAGTCAATTCACTTTACAGTATACTCTGAAGCAATTTGAGACGTCTCAACGATGTAACAATGCACTATATCAAATACAAGGATCATCATTATATAAATGCAAGTTGTTGAGAATTCAAAACCTTTGCTATACAATATCCCCTTCATTTTACAATAATTTCCAGCTCTGTTATTAAATATCGCCAGCCTGACTCGATAGGTAGCACTCTCATCTCCAAGTCAGATAGTTTTAGGTTCAAGACTCACTTCGGACGTTGACCGACTCTCTAGTGCAATGAGTGTTGCACTGTCGGAAGTGCCGTTGCTTCACAAAGATGTAAAATCGAGGTCCCTTCTGTCTGCCCAGGAGGGCAGTAAAGATTCTATGGCACTGTTGGAAAGAGAAGGGAGTTTCTCCCTGTGTCCTGTCGGACAATCCTCCAGATAAAATTGGTAACTGCCTTCATGGTGTTTGTTGATATTGCTTTGTAATTTGGATTCACCAAGAAATACATTCACTAGACTTTACAGCAAATCATGTGAAGTTTTTTGAGACGTTGACAACAAAAAAATTGCATTTATATACCACCTTTCATTGACGACCCCAAGGTGCTGGACAGTCGAAGGTTTGAATCTGAGCTGAGAGTTGGGGACCAATGGGGTGGGAATATCACAGAATCATACCGCACAGAAAGAGGCCATTCGGCCGTTCGTGTCTATGCTGCTCTTTGAAAAGAGCTTCCAAATCAAACCCACTCCCCCGCTCTCTCCCCATAGCCCTGATCAACCCCACTCCCCCACTCTCTCCCCATAGCCCTGATCAACCCCACTCCCCCGCTCTCTCCCCACAGCTCTGCAAACTTGTCCTCCACAAATAATTATCTACTTCTCTATTAAAAGTTGTTTTTGAATTGGCTTCCACCGGCCTTTCAGTTAATTTATTCCAGATCCCAACAACTCGCTGTGTCAAAACATTTCTCCTCCCCTCCCTTCTGTTTCTTTTAACAACTATTTTAAAGTCCTCGGGTTACTGACCCGCCCGCCAGTGGAAATAGTTTCTCCTGTTCACCCTATCGAATCCCCTCATCATTTTGATGACTTCTATTAAGTCTCCTCTTAACCTTCTCTGCTCCCAGGAGAATAATCCTGGCTTCTCTACCTCTCCTGATAACTGAAGCCCCTCATTCCTGGTACCATCCTGGTCAATCTCCTTTGCACCCTCTCCAATGCCTTGACATCCTTCCTAAAGTGTGGGGCCCAGAACTGAACACAGTCTCTCGCTGAGGTCCCACCAGTGTCTTATATAAAGGTTTATCATAACTTCCTGACTTGTGTATTCTATGCCCCTATTTATAAAGCCTTGTGTCCCGGATGCTTTTTTAACAGCTTTATCTGCCTGTCCGCCATCTTCAAAGATTTACTATATGACCCCCAGGTCTCTCTGTCCCTTCACACCCTTTAAGATTGTACCATCAGCTTTATCTGTGTGTCACTCTTTTTTGCACTTTCTGTAACACTCACTTGTTGCTTCCCACCTGAACAACTTGGATTGGATTTATATAGAACCCTTTATAAATAGTAATGTGTCAGAGCACATTATATAGTGTGCTGAACACCGATCAGGGAGATTGAGTCACTCTCACTTTTCCTCTGCTTGGTCCTCCTTCCCTTTCACTGAGACGTTTTCTGTTTCTCTTACATCTCCTGGTATGTAATTCACTCCTCTCACGAACATTCTTTTGTTCTTTCCTCTATCTATTACCTCATCCACTTGCACTCTTACACTGTCCCTCGTACATTCGTCCCTTGTGCTCACTGAGGATTCTCTGTATGTATTGTATGTATGTCTATGTGTCCATGGGAATCATTTTTCCTTACCTGCCCGTACCCTCCGTTCCTCTGGCTCCGGTCTGCTCCACACCCCCGCCCTAACTGCCCTACCATCGGTGGCCTTCAGCCTCTCAGCCCCGAGGCTCTGGAACTCCATCCCTCAGTGCCTTCGACCATGCCTTCAGCTCCCCTCTCGACTCTCT